GGCTTAAAACAACCTAAAGATTTAAAACTTAAAAGCTTGAAAGTTAAAAAGAATTAAAACAAACATAAGAAATAGATCAGAATTAAGGGTGAAATCAAACGGAAACAAAAGGATGAAATTAAAAGGTGAATATTTTGAGGCAGTTTTAACAGGAAGGGCGCGATGCACTGTTGCTCCAAATAAATGCTTAAGAATAGTTCCTGGATGCACCTGTCGCATTTTGGACTTGGATACTGCCGTAATCGAGAACATAATGTACAAAGCCTTCGATGGTACTACAGCCAGATGCTTTTGCAGGTGGTGGTTCTTGCTGGTTGGCATACTGTCAGTGTTATCGCTTGTGTATTACTTTTTTGCACTGATGCTTCCGTCGAATCAACGGCAGTTCGTAACACGTTATTTGCGCTGTACCGGCGCCATCGCCGAATTTCGGGATCGGAACACTGAACGATACCTTAATGATTTCATTAAGAAATTCCTGCGACCGGATGGCACCTTCATTTTGCGACTAATTGAGGTCAGTGATGAGTGGTGCTGTTAAAGTTGTATGGCTACTGATCGTTATGACTGACCAGCTCTATCTGCACCCCTGGAAGAGGAACTTGTTGATAGCTTAACAAGGAGACTGTTGTTGTGTTGGCCAAATGCTAATCACTAGAGCTGTTTAAGAACACCTTACTTAAAAAAAAAACAGATACTGTGACCTTGATCAACTTGTGAATGTTTTTTTTAATTCGTTATTTCAGTGGAGTCGCTTAACAATCGTAATTGTCTTTGCAGACCAATGGTGGCGACTTGCTGGTTGGTGAAATCGTAACTGTAATGTTCAATCGGTATAGAGCTCGCATGGAAGAGCAGGCCCAAACCCTCACCATAACGAATGGCAACGAACGATAGTTCTTTGGTTGTGCTTCTGAAGTGGGCCAGGTTAACTTAACAACTTTGCTCTTTAGACGCTCGACAGCTTTTTTTTTAAAAAAAGCATTGATCATTTGTGCAGAAATTGAAAAGCATTATTTTTTGTGTGAAAGGCTGATTACTACAGATATTTCCTATTTCATTTCAAAATTTTAATGATTTTGAAAAAGCAATTAAAGTTTGTGTGAA